ATAGGTAATAGAAAATATTATCATGAATTCTATAAAAAAACTTAAATAATTAACATTAATATAGTAGTTTTAATTCAAAAGGAAATTTGTAAAAATATTACAAACATTTTGTGTACTTTGAAAACTAACCCATGTTTCTAAATATTTGAAAACTAACTTTATTGGCAATTAAGATTATCAAATATATAAAGTTTTTTTAAATATCAAGTTGTGTTATCGGTAATTAATTCTATTATAAAATAATTTACGAAATTAAAAATAACATTTCACGTGATTGATAAAACAAATAAAAAATGTAGATTATACATAAAATATACAACCATAAAAAATTACATATCTCACAAAATTAAGAATGGTGAATTGCATAAGATTTATGGTTCACGTTCAGTTAAGTTATATAATGTTTAGTTCATTTGATTTAGTTTCTCATAAATAGTTGATTATAGAAAAATTAAGTTGGCAATTTTTTTTGCTTACCGAAATTCTTATATTTTGCATTATAATAATTTGATTGATTTATTTTAACGATTTAGTATAAGATATTTTCTTATGTTATTTACATGTGTTGAGAGGGAGTTATACATTGCTATCTCAAGTTGTACATTACTACCTCAATTTGTGGTATAACATTGTTATATTTTGCTATAAAATTATATTTTACACGTTTGATTGAAATTCGATTTTCCGTTTATATTATATTTTAATGTTTTGCAGTAAATTAAAGCAACAACAAAAAATGGCTATTTAGTTTGTGTAGTTTGGCTACATTTAAAGTATTAATTGTCTACAATTTATCCAATTTTGTTTTTAAATATACCTTTGTAATTATAAATTATCAAATTTTATGAAGATATTATTGTCTTTTAATTAAAAAAGGTTAGTTTTCAAAATCTTGAAAACATGGGTTAGTTTTCAAATTANATAATTTTTTTGGACTATCAAACCAAACCTCCCTTAATTCAAATAGTAAAATGACATAGTTGAAAATTGTTTCAAATAAAAAAATAATAATTATATCAATTATACTTTTGGAAAAAAGCCAAAAACATAGTTTTATTTGAAATTTTTAGAAAATATACCTTTCAAAATTGTATATTCGATCATTTATTTATCGTATACACAAAGATAATTTTTTCATTTATTTTATTTAAAAATACGTATAGCATAAATATGGTACGCCAGTCACTATATAACGTCTGGACGTCATATATGCCGGCGCCTGGACTGTATTTTAGATCACTGGATTCGTTAGATTAGTGGTTTTTCTTTTGGAAATATCTGTAAGAAAGACTGACTAATCATCTACTGCTAGTGTCCAGTGTCCATTGACGTTGACTCTATTTATGTACCTTATTTCTCTTAAAAACAGAAAATAATAGTAAATGTCCTTCACTTGTTTATAGAAACTTCCATAAGAAAAAAGAAATAGATAAAGAAATGGATAGACCGTATGTGGTAGTGGTGAAGTATATCATTACTTATCAATAATGTTGCTGCTTTTATCTTAATCCCGTCCCAATTGGTAAGTCAAGTTGTGTCATTGTAACCAAATATGCATCTAAAAAGATTTGAAACCATTATAGAATTTTGCATAATGTTGAAGAAAAACATGGCAATTTTTCAAACATCTTAGTAACCCAAAACACAGAACTAGTCCCTCTTTCTTTCCTCTGCCTGTCTCCTTGTTTGCGATTCTACTTGCTGTGTACACTAAATGCATAAACTTACTTT